TACAAGATTTTTCATCTCTTACTTTGCACATACTGTCCGCTTCATTAGTCCCCTTGCCATCTCTTCTGAAGGAATATTGAGAATCCAAAATGGAGACTGCAATCAAGAGAAGATAAGTGATGCAAATACCTAGCTGAAGGATGTCAAACGAATTACACAACTACATGGTTTTGTTCTATAAAAACAGAACATGCATATTGAAGATCAAAAAAAATAATAAAAAATAAATCTAATAACTTTAATCATACAGAGAATGTGGGGATAAAATAATTGATTTGAGACAAAACTGTTTACTTAGTTTGAATGTCTGAGGAATTGTTATGTATTTATTTTTCCCAACATAACTGACTTGGTAAAATATTGTTTGCACTTCTCTTGATTATTCATCTGCTAAAGACTGGAAACAGTTTGTTACACACAAGCAGTAACTAAATCCCAATTACGTTCTCTGACCAAGCACTGAGACCAGAATCATATGGTTTCCTAGCTGCACCTCTCCTCTGTCTCTTTGATTTACAGGCAAACAACAATTTTCAAACTGCTGTTGAGCGCTTTCAGTGTTTAGACATTCTAAAAAGCAAGGAGAGCCTCCCAGCAGATGGCAGTGCTTCTTTTCATGCTGGTAAGAGAAGACATCCTGAGGTGCATTTTGTGCATCTTTTTTTCAGTTCTGAGTTTTCACTGAAATTGAGAAGTCCCCAGATTTGGGAAGATTCCCGATTTTCCTATGAAACTTCAATATTTATTCAGCTGCCTACATTTAACAGAAATACTGTAAAGAACATAGTTGCATACCATACACACACTCAAGTAAAATAATTGGTCCTTGCTTACATTTACACGTATTTCCTGCTCGCCACTGAATTGTCCACCACAAAGGGAGAGCAATGATGTTATTTCCTAAAGTGAAAATATAAAGGTGATGCTTTAGAATCATTAACTAATGTTATGAGGAAAAGAGAAGAGGAAGAGGGATTCTAATGCAGATGGTGGATAGGGCCGAAGTTCACAAGTAAATTCAGATAATATGTATTGTTCAGAAACTGAAAATTAAGACTTCTCTGCCATAAAAACAACTTTCTCAAATTTCATTGGCAAAGTCAGGAAAATTTCAGTAATCAAACCCCACCATTTCACATTTTCTCCTTCACTAGAATCTTTGCTGTTCAATCCTATACTCTCACAACGACATTTATCTTACAATACTATCCACCCTCTTCTTAAAATATTTTTCGGACTAGTTCACATAAAAGTGATGTTTCACTAGTAAGACTGACCCAGGGCTAGGATCAGCAGATCATCTGGCTAAAAAATCTGTCCTTGCTTGTTTCATTAAGTTGTTGACAAATCATGTCCCTAACACAGCTCATTACAAAACCAAACAAGCTGAGCAGTCACCAAAATACATGAAATGAGAAATGGTTCTACTTTCTTCAAGAGCCATATCAACCAAGTGCCACCAAAACCTTGGTGATAAAAAGAAAAACTTTCTATGTTACATATGTATAATTTTTTTTATGATAAAATGACCTTGCCTAAAGAAAACGCGGGTTGATCGTAAGTACATAAACTCAGGTGTCAGTCCCACAAAGCAAACAGGAAAAAGCAATGCACAGAAGAAAATGCTAATGAAAACAAGGGAAATAGATTATTCAAGACACACTGAACATTTGGTAACATGTAAGAGTCCAATCGATGAGGGAACATCACCCCTTGGAACAGACCAAGGCACCGAGTGCCACATCCAGTGTCTCCCTGGACGCTGCAGGGACAGCGCAGCTCCCTGGGCAGTCAGTCCATCGGGAGAGGCCCTGCCGTGTGCCCAGGGCAGCACCAGCCATTCCTGCACGCAGGGCACGCTGGCGGGATCTGACGTCTAACAACACTTTCAGTGGGCTTAAACACTTAAGCCCCCCACTTAACTTTAAATAAACTTTAAAAGTCACCAAAACCAAAAACTTGAAAACATTTTTGTAACCTCAGCTTCCGCTTCTCGCATGGCGCCCCGGGTACTCTGCTGGCAACCTCTCCTAGCGCCAGAGGCTCTGGAAAAGCGAGCGGCAAGGAACGTGCTGCCTTAAAGCCACCACGCGGAGGCTCTCCGTGAGCCTGGACCAGGAGGGAGAAGAGGGAACCCTACGCCTGAGGGTCCCTTCCCACAGAACGCGGGGAGCGGCGAGGTAAGGGGCGCCGGGCGCTCCGAGCCCCCGGCTCTCCCGGGGGGAGGGAGGGGACCGCCGCCGGGGCCCGGCTCCCCCGGGGAAGGGCTGTCCGGGAGCGCCCGGAGGAGAGGCGAGGAGAGGCGAGGGGAGGGCAGCGCTTCAACCGGCCCCGATTTCCATCCCGATCCCAGCCCTTGCCCCGGCCCCGGTCGCGGTCGCGGTCGCGGTCCCGCGCAGCGCTCACCGGCAGGCGGAACTCGAGGTGCTCCTGCGCCAGCAGCAGCAAATAGCGCCGCAGCGCCGGAGCCGCCAGCGCCATGTCCGGCCATCCCCCGCCTCCCGCATGCGCCGCCGGCAGGGAAGGGCGGGAGCGGCGGGAGGAGCCCGGGAAGGGGCGTGTGGCCGAGAGACCCCCGCGGCCGCTGCAGCGCCCGGAGCGGGACAAGGGCCTGCGCCAACTCTTCAGGAGTTACTGCTGGTTTTATCTTCTTCTCAGCCTCCTTGTAGTTGTATTTTGGGTGTGCTGTATCACGCACGCCAGGTGTCAGTGCAGTACTGCTGCGTATGGTTTATAAATAACTCCGTGTACACTGGGGACACGCTCTCCCAGCGGTGTTTCACTGTCAGGGGCGCGCTGTGGCTTCTCCCGACCACATTTAAGGATCTGGAGCATTAAATAACATTAAGAATTAACAGATGCCAAAGGAGTCGCGTTCCTTTTTCCGTGGGAAGGAGGTCAGCGCTGGCGGCGTGGGTGTCGCAGCAGGTGGAGGAACACATTCCCAGGGAAGGGGCAGAGGTGTGACGGTCCGGCAGAGGGGCAAAAAGGGGTTTGTATTGCGGATTATGTTTTATTTTAATATCTAGTCTTGATAATTGTAATCCCTAAATCCCTACTCACTGATCTCCCTACTGGGTTGATCTGAAAGGTTTGTCTTACTCGTATTTTGGTAAGCTGTTTATTAGGACCAGGCCAGCTCAGGACTGAACTCATGTTCCGTGTTTTATGTAGGGATTTTTGGACAGGTTTGTTTTTTGTTGTTTTTTTCTAAATAGCTATGATTTTGCCATGACCTTTGAGCACTGCATGGGACACCTTCTTTCTGCATCTCCGTAATCTCATCCTGCAGCTTCTCCAGTTATCCCTTATGCAGTAATCAAAACTGAGTTTACTGTGAAGCTTTAGCAATGATGATTGACAAGAAAGCAATCTAAAGTGACCTGGCACCTAAACGTGAGCTTTTCTAGAAGAGAAAGAAAAGAGGTAGATGTGGATCTGGCTTGTTCACCTCACTAGCTGAGTGCTGAGAGCCAGCTGAACTGCTGAGAAGCCCTGCGAGCCTGAGGTTGCTTACAAAATCTTGGAATTGCTGAGAGAGCTTTAGTGGAAGAAGTCTGCTTTTATTTTTCCAGTCTGTCTCACTTTAAATTTCTTAGCTGTATTGCATCCATTTTAGAAACTCCTTAGAAGGGGCTGCTGGTATTATTTTTAAACTTAATCTCTTTGAAACTGCCTTTTGCTTACTTTATCTGCATTGCTTTACCTTCGGGGCATTGCTGTCCGTTCTCACAAGGTCAATACCTGTTTTTCACTGATACTGTTTCCTACAGAAGACTTTAACAAAAGCCCTGATTTTTTCTTGCTTTTGATTTGAAGATCTGTGCAAAATCTCTGGCAGTGTCTACAGGTTGCTCTACTTACTTTGAAAATGAATGTAAGTTACTAAGTAAGATTTACAGAGTATTTGATTCTGACATAAAAACAAAATGCTTTTCAGATGCTGTGTTTGGAAACAGAGCATACGTTCCTGTAATGCCACTGAGGAGAATCAAGCAGCTTGTTAGTGTGGATGTGGGGAGTCATCTTAAAAACATTACATAACCCTTCTAGGAAGGGAGAGGAAGAAAATTTACACTTTTTAGCCTTCAGGGGAATTTTATATACACAAAATGTAATTACTGAACTTGAAATTTATCCAGGAACCTAGAATTAACCACTTTCCTCTCACAAAAAAAAAAAAAAATAACAATGGTAATATACAACAATCACGAGTTTCAATTTGAAAGTGAGAGGCCGTGAATGAAAAGCCATTATTTCAAGTGTGCTGTTGCTTATCATTCCCAATTCCCTTCTCTGGCGATCGTTTTGCCACTCTTCTCTCACCTTGTGCACTTTCCTAGACCCAGAGGCAACACAAGCAGTTTTTGACTGACCTGGAGGTTCTGCTGGGGAATTTAAGGAATTCTGTCCCTGCTCATGGGCTCATGTGCAACAGCACCGACATATGTATGTGGGCAAATGCCCATGAAATCCTACTTTTAAAACAACCGTTTCCAAATACAGAAATACCCAATCTGTAATTCAGCTGTTAAACTGTTCAGAATTTGCATTTCTGTCCATTCCCCCGTAGAAAATCCAGCACTAATCCTGTGTTTCAACTTCAAATGCCGGTAAAATTATCAGCTCTACTTATGTGCTACCTGGAAACTCCGGCTTGCATATTTCAACAGGTGAACGATACCAGCCAGCAAAGACGTGGCTATAGCACACTTATATCTCTGCAGGGATATAAAGGTCTGTCCCTAATTCAGCAGAATAACCACGTCCTGCACAGACAGTCCATAAGCCAAGCTCGTGGAGTGCCGTAGGCGGTGGGCACCACGCAGAGGTGCCAGCTCTGCCTGCCCGCGGGCTGCAGCCGGCAGACATGGCCGTGCAGCGCAGCCTTTTAAGGGAGAGCAATCTATTCTGCCTTTGTCTTCCGCACTAAATAGGGTGTTGCAGACAGAGACGCGCTCGCTAACTGTACTTTTACTTCTCCTTGCAGTGCCTGATGAGGAAAATACCCCTGCTCCCTCCACGTATTGGCGTTTCGGCTGCAGATAGTATCTTCCGTGCGTAATAACTTCCACAGTGTGAGGGAACCTTGTCGGCACGGCGTGAGTGTGTCCACCTTTAATCAGCGTTCCGGCAGGAGAGAGGCTTCCCACCCCTGTGCATGGGTTGGTGTGCCGCTGCTGCCGCTCGGCAATGGTTTGCTCTCTCCGCAGCTCAGCCAGCAGTGCATCAGATTGTTTGGGAAGTCTCAGGGGCTGCCGAGTACCTGGATAAAGTTCTTGGAAAGGCGTCATTGCGAGAAGAGTGAGTACTGCAGTGTGTGCTGCATGGGGGCTGCGGGGCTTGCCCGGTAACTGCGGGACCGGTGGAGGGAGCACCGTGTGACATCGTAAGCATGATTTACTGCCCCGTGTTCCTGAGTTACTTCTGGATTTCACCTGAATCAGTTTTACTTACTTCTCTGCTGTAGAATTGTGAGTGGATTTAAAATCTTCAGATATTTAACCTCTTTTTCAGCAGCCTCGCCTCTCCCCCCGGCAAATCGCTTCCAAAAAACACCAGGCTGACTGGTTGTGTTTCCTTCACAGCTGACAGTGCACACAAGAATCACAGCTACAGCCAGTCACCGATTCGTTTCCTGCTTGAGTGCCATAAAACATTTTCAGAAATGGAAGGAGATAAAGGCCAGAGTGCTAAAGCTACCAGTGCAGTGGGTGACCTGAGGAAAAGTTGGCAGACCTGGGCAGAGGATCACATTGAGTATCAGAGGAAGAATCCGTTCAGCAGCGACGGCAGGCTTGCGTCTAAACCTGCACATTCTCACAGAGGAGACCCTGCCTATGGGAGACCCCCTGAAGGGTCTCGGACAGAGCAGAGAGGGAAAGATGCTCACTCACACGTGGGGAAGGAAGTAGAAGAGCTGTGCTTGATCATCAGAAGAACTGGAGAGGTGGGAGAAGATGGACACGTGAGTGTGACATTCGGGCAGCTGTTTGAAACATATGTGACTATTTCCAATAAAGTAGTGGGAATATTGTTAAGAGCCAGAAAACACGGTCTGGTTCATTTTGAAGGTGAAATGCTTTGGCAAGGAAAAGATGATGATGTGGTCATCACCTTACTACAGTAAGGCTTTGTCCTGGAATGAACTTTGCTGCATGGTTCCATTTAGAAAAATGCATCTAGATACCATCTTCACAGGTTTTGGTTACAGAATTTCAGCTCAGCTACCTACTGGGACACAAGCAGGAGAGGAAATGGGCGAGAAGGATAAAGCATGTTTTTGTAAAAACAGTAGAGATTTGGACAGAAATCGCAGATTATGAGCTACTCCATCACACTGACTTTGGATGTCCTTACCATCTACTACTACCAAGTATATGAGTGCTCTTCAAATAACTCTGCTGGCCTACTGCTTTTAGGTTACTGAAAGTATAAATTACAAACTTGCTATCCTACAACACTAATTCCTGCAGGTTGTGAAATACTGACTGCATGGGAGAATGGATTTGTAAAATGTGGAATTGAAAACTCTTGTGGGAATTCATACACTTCTTCAAAGCAAAAGTTTAGGTTCAATCTCACATGGTTAAACTGAATAAATGGAAGTTATTTTCATGAAGGAGATGGAAATTCACAAACTTGCAAAAATACCACAGCAAGGATACTTGATGGTTCCTAAATTAGTCGCATGTTGCTTGGATTTTGGGCAGTTGCATTAGTTCTGGTATTTAATAGTCTAATCTTACAGTTATGTCTTCTCCACACCTTCTGTGTCTCTTGCTCTTTTTGTTTCCTATCTCACACCATTTTTACTTTTTCTGTTCTTCTAATGCTTGAGAAGAAGTCCACAAAGCTCTGAAGCCTTTTTGGGCGAATTCAGCAATACCCCTTCATAGAAGGTAGAGTACCACTGTGTAAAGATGCAAAAGTCAACAGAAACTCTGTATTGGAGCACCTGCACTTTCCTAAAGAAATAAAAGGCTTTTCTTTCATCAAAATATAGCAATGTTTTTTACAAGAGGAGGGTAGAGATACTGTAGTGCCACATGCATAAATGAAAGCATAGCAGCACAGTCCCATACCTCATTTACCTGCTTTCAGAGCACAGTTGTGAGCTCTTCAAAAAGAAAAATAAAGGATTGGTACTGTCATAGTGCTATGAAAAATAATCAGGAGCTGTATTTACAATAGTTCCCACCAATAAAGCTATATAATTAGAAATCTAAAGTTCTGGTTTTTAGCAGTGCAAACAGAAGCTTTTGTGTGGTGTTAACTACAATACTTGATGGGTCTTTAAGATACTGTCTTGCATCAAAAGCATATTACAATTTAATTTAAATTAGGAACTTTATAAAAGTAATGTGTAATTATATGCTATTTATATAAAAGAACTTCTATTGCAAAAAGCCTAAAAGAATGGGGTTTTGTTTTGATGTTTTCATCCAGTGGGGATTTGCACTAAACTAAGTCTTTGGCTGAGGATTTCATTTTTAGCCTGCCTTTTTCTTTCTGGTGAAAGGACAATGAAAAGAGAGAAAAAAAAAAGGAGTAAATTAATGTGCTGAAATAAGTATATCTGGGGAACGGGGCAGTCAAATGTAGGTAGAGAATGGGTTTTAATCACCGCATAATTTTACTACGTTGGAAAAGGGGAAATACATGCTGCACCAGGCAATATTGTGTGCTCCCTTAGGTTTCAAACCTACTGCTTCTTTCTAAATAGACCTACATCTTGCAGCTGAAAAAGAAGACATGTAGTTTGTGATCTCAACATATTTAAAATGCTTTGTTCTTTTTGGAAAAGCATTTCTTGCCAAATGACATGAGCACACCTCAGGGTATTTCAGCTCCCGTTACAGGAAGTCTTTACATGCACTCAGATTTCAACACAAATTGAGCTTTTTATAGTGCAGATATGGAATGAGTTTTGTTTAATTCTAACAGTTCTGAAATCCACTCAGTTCCACTATGGTGTTAGTTCATAACTTGCAGGAAGCAGCACCAGGCACTTCAAGTGTCACCAGCTGACTAACGGGATGGCACTATCAGGAAAAAAAATACATTGCTGGACACTGTACAAATAATTCATTGCAAGACACACACGTGAGGCAGTATGTAGGCTGAGCACCGTAAGATACAAGTCCAGCTCACATAAATTTACTGGATTTTAATTAAGGCTGGCTCAAATAATTAAATATCAGCAATCTAGACTGTCACTGCCATGTAAGTGGTAGATACTTGAGCACATCTACAGACACTTAAGTACACCTCCGATCAAAACAGAAGCAGAGCAAACCCTTAATGACACGGTCTTACCTCATTTGTAAGCAACTAAAAAAAGCTTGCTCTATTATTATATTTTTAATAGAACCAAGGATTACTATGTAACAAAACTATTATTTATAGAGGGATTTTTTTTTTTAAACAGTTACAAAGCCACGTTTCCAACCTGCCAGCTTTAGATGAGCATTCTGGAAAGTGTGACTGAAATCCTTCTGTGTGCCCATGGAATGATTATAAACACCGAGCTGCCAAACTGGCTCAGCACACAGGTTGACAAATCCAGTCTTGTGCTTCCAACAATAGCCAGTATTTCAAAAAAAGACTAAAAGATAAATAATAGAACTGGTCAGCTTGCCCACTGGTACACTCTAGAATAAAAAATTACTCCTGAAGCCTGTATAGTCATGAATGCTCATATCTAATGCACGTGACTCAGTTTACCTACAAGTTTTAAAAAAATATGCATCATCTGTGATTAGATTAACATCTACAGATGAAATAGGAATTTAAACTTTTCAACATGCAACTTTTTTTTTTAAAGCAGGTTCCCATTAGAGTAAACAGAACAGAGCTTATTAAATTATTTTTGCAAAAATTGTAGCATGTGAGGGGTTTCAGTATTACAGATTATGTGGAGCAGTAAGTAAACTCCAACCTTTTAAAAGGTGTGCTTGCCCTACTAAGCATCTTTCAGCTGTTTAAATCTCTCCTAAATTTCACTTTGTGACAGATTACCTGAGTGGTCTTTCCTCTCCTTCCACTTAAAGCCTGCATCTGTTTTAGAGTGTTTATCATATAGGGATTATCTGTGGTTTGTTTTGTCAAACACTGAAGGCACTGTCACCATTTTAATAAATGTTGCACATTAGTTTGAAATGACAAGAGTTTTTATGCAGCATTTTATTGTTTACAAGTTTCTCAAATTTCAAATACAATTTTCCCTGGTTTGTTCCCGTTCTCCTACTTTTATTTACAACTCACACTTAAAAAGACTTTGGAATAGTCTGAGGAGTTATGACCAATTTAAGCACAATTTCCTCTTATTTTTAACAGTATTTTATGTACACTTGTTTCATCCTTTCAGCATAATTTAAGCATCACTCAGCATAATTTCAGTATTATTCTCTGGGTTCGTGTTAGGTTGGGAGTTTACGTAAACCAATTGAGCAAAACAGTACAAATAAAGCTTTGTCATTCCTAAACATGAGGTCAAAAAAGCAGCTTTTCTCAAGACTGCTAATACTGGATCAAAGAACAGAGCAAGCAGCAGTGGCTAAACAACTTTCCTTTGCTTCTCCAGACTCTTGGAGAGTAAGAGTTTCTGAGTTCATGCTTCTTATTGATCTTTGCTCCTTAGAAAGCTCTGCAGATGATTTCTGAAGTTTTAAAATCACTAAAACTTCTATAGAAGACAGTGACAAAGTTAATAGGATCTGCACTCTGTCTCTTCCAGGAGCTAGCCAGTAATTCAGAAACATAATGGAAGTATTAGGTTAGGCTTTTCAGAAAGTATTTCTTCACCTAATTAAAAAAATTATCTGCAGAGTCCAAGAATGCTTGTCAGTGCAGAAGGAAAACAGACCACAGTTCTGTGCTGAAAAACACTAACGAGAGGCTGAGCATTCCTCTCAGTAATTGGTGTGCCTCTGTTTAATGCTTTGCTATTTCAGCTGTTCTGAGGCCTGTCTGTTGCTATCAGGGAACACAGGTTTTCCCCATCTTTTTCATCAGCAAAACACTGGAAGTGACATTATACCCAGATTTTTACCTTTCCAGTCTTGACATTAGTGGGGCCCTTCTACATATCGAAGTTGGCCTTTGTGCTTTCATATACATTTGGCAACATACAGAGTCTAGTTGGGATGGAGGTAACTTCCCTCAGAGCATCCCAGGTTTTGGGTGTGACTGGAAGTGTCCCAGCAGTTCTGGTGATTGCTGAGCAGTGTGTGTACAATGTCAGGGCCTTCTTTCTCCTGCTCTGCCCTTCCAGTGGGCAAAAAGCTTGGAGAGAGCACAACCTGCACACCTGACACAGACTGACCAGCAGGTATATTCCATTACATAGAATATCTGGAATAAAAGCTGAAGAGAGGGCTTTCTTTTGGGGGGGTGGGGGGGGGTGGGGGCCATGGCTACTGGCATGACTGTGGGAGGTCTTGAATGATTACCTTTATTTTTTTCTTCCTCTTTCCTTCACATATTAAACTACCTTTATCTCAATCCTTAAGTTTTTTCATTTTGTTCTGGGTTCATAACCCACTGGGTTAGGGGATGAAGAGTGAGCAAACGGCTATCTAGGGTCAACCCTCACAGTGAACTATTCCACTGCACTGGAAAATCATCCCAAGATTAGCATTTATTAATCCTTTTTGGCAACAGGTCATGTTGATATTTTAAATATTACATTACATGTTTAGTACAGTTACGTAAGTTAATTACAGATCAGAACACACACACAGTATTAACTCTTGAAAATCCTTAATATTCAGGTATTTCACTAAGTTAGGAGTCAGCTCAGACTTTTTCATCTATTGCACAGTCAAAGTTCAGTGGCTTTAAGTCACACTTTTCCAACCAAATGTAAAAAATTAAAACCCTACAGGGCTGCAAATGACATGCAGTGCCCACTAAAAAGAATGACAAGACACTAGGAAGAACATCTTACAGACAGAGAGGTGTAAACTCTGCCAGGTAGAAAACGCAGCTCTTCAGAAGGGTGTGGACTCTCTGAAGTACTGTAAAAATATTACAACACATTGTATCACTAAGGCAACAGGTGCTGGATCCATGGAAAACACAGAATATTATGTTCAGGGAAGCTTGCAGGTGCAACAGACGTTCTCACCTCAGCTGCATCTGAATGCATCAGGCAAGGGCACTTGGTTAGATCGGCACCAGGACAAGCTCTGTGAACAAAGAAAATCCACTCCATGTGTTCTGGAGTTTTAGCTTGCCAAGTAGTCTGCCTTATTATGGTACTGAAAAACAAGTGCTAGCATTCCTGATTAGAGTCATGCAGCAAAGGCAACTGTTCAGCAGGTTCCTTAAGCAACTTGGCATATTCCAATTTTGGGCTGAGTCCCTGCTGTCCCAAAGTCAAATCACATTGCTCTTATGTAAGAGCCACAAACCACACGCACACACACACACACAAACACACACTGCATTTCAGACCAGCCTCTCCTATGACTTCATTTAGAATCCAAATTTGGCCAAGGCATTAATAATCTGCAAGGGACTTCCAGTGAGAATAAGATCAGGAAATCTGGACTTTTCTATCTAGTGCCATGCAGAAGAGCAGTATATTAAATCCGTTCTTCTGAACTCTTCACATTCTTGGTAAACATACAGTAACTAATTTCAAACATTATGCACATAAGAGGGAAAAAAATATCTTTAGGTCTATTTACACATAAACTATATTCTAGTTATACAGCATTATCACATTTTGGGCACATGCATTGTGCTGCAAACAAGTCAGGTAACATTGAAGTGGTTTAGCACCAGAAAGTCAGTACTTTCAGCAATGTACCTACTTATCACTAGGCATAGTAACACATCACACAAATGCAGATGGGAACAAATGTTTGAAATGTTACCTGCAATCCCAGAACAATGCATCTTGAAAATGAAAGCTTGATTCCGCAATAAATACTCCCTTCTGGTACCATTCACATGCTGTTAGTTGTAACTCGTTGCCTTGGTTGCAACGCATTCTGCTCCTAC